CCATGTATGAATGGGGATAATAGAGTTTCCGTTTTCAGCATCTTTGATTATCTCTAAATGTAAAAGCCTGCATTCAATTCTCTTCATCTCAGATACAATCTCAGATACTCTCCAGTCATTCAGTGGGGGATTTGGAGAATGCCAAGATGACTGCAACGGGACGCCAGATCTTCCCATCGGAGCAGAGCTCGACTCTAAAGCTTCGCAGCTGAGGTGCAAAGTGACCCCTGGAAGCCACGGGGAAAGTCGCAAGACGCACTGCTTTCAGGACGCTTCTGAAGCGACCCGCGTACTTTCGCCGAAAGTGATGGTTGGTCATCTCAAGATATGATGCTCATATGATGCACTTGTGATTATGTCACAATATCTTCATGATAGAATTGTGTTTTTTGATCTTTGGATTCATTATATTTCATTATACAGCCAGGCTTGAGTATTGTAAGATCTTGTATGTCATAGGCAGCATGTTTTTTTGGATGTGGGCAACCCTTCCAGGAGCCGGGCTTCAAAGATGAGCGAGGCGGCCATGGAGCCATATAGCGAAGCTTCATGGCCCAGTGAAGGAATAGTTGATATGTGTATGATGTATTATATATGATATATATATACACATATATATATACATATGATCATCCTGAAGTAGATAGGTTTATTGGACTTTCAAAGATATTCCCATTTTAGTGGGGGATGTGGGAAATTTCCAGATTCGATCTACTCCAGAGTGACTAATATGTAATTATATGTATATGATTGCTATATGTTTGGCTTAAATAATTTATACACACATCCAATCATATATTTATACCCATCCACATTTATATAATATATAAAAATAATCTATAAGCATAACAACTATTTATGTATAAACCAATATATATATATATATACACATTATATTATATATAAACCATCTATAAAATCATGTATTAATCCATCGGCAACGGAGGCGTCCCAGAGCTCTTATCCTTTGCATCGCTCCGAGTCGCCAGCGTCTTCATCTCCGAGTGTTTCGATCGCAGTATGTCATGGGAAAATCCATGAAACAAGTCATTGGGAAAATAGTGGTTTCATGGAAATCTAGTTACTATAATGTTACTATAGTTGAACATAGATTGGATATGGACATGATGGAAATGATGGAAATGATGGAAATGGACATTAATGGAATGAGGAAAATCATAAAATCATCGAAGTAAATGGGGATATTTTTTTTTTTATAGCATCAGATATAACATTCGCCAACAGGACGATCAATCCATCTTGATCCCATTCACAAATCGACCTCCCAGAAATCAACTGTAAATCCACATTTCCGTTGTGAAATCCTGCATGAAATAAACCCAACAGGAACAAGTGATCTTTGAACAACTCAAAAAATATATTCAAATCTCTTGAGAGCCCTTTTTCTGGAGATTTTGCTTTTCAAAGATCTTGCAGGTGTCCATTGAATTGCCGTTTTTGCTGATTTATCGCTTTTCAAAGTGAGGCCCAATTTGAAACCCTGTATCTCACCATCCAAGATGGGAATTTACATAGTGTAAATTGGCTTTATCGAAAACCACTGGTGATGTGCTAATTTCACCTCCATCTACCAGTAGTACCGCACAAGGCGGTGGCGGAAGTTTCAAAAATAGGAAACCTATAGGAGAGATTGATTGTTGTGAATCACGGATGGCAGAGCGAATCCACTGATTGACCGAAAGGTGGTTGGAGTTGTGTTTGCTGGAATGGTTGCAATGGTTGCAGTGGTCACCTCACCTACAACTGCTGGATGTAGTGTGATGTACTGCAACTGTAGTTGTTCGTGTGTAGCGGAGTGGAGTTGTATGGTGGTTGTAGGTAATGGTTGTAGTGTAGTTGCAGTCATATAGTTTGTAGCTTGTAGTTGTTTAGTAGTGTTTGTGGATAGTTGTAGTAGTAGTTGGTGTTGTAGTTGTTGTGTGGTGTAGTTGTTGATGAGTGTAGTAGTAGTAGTTGTTGTAGGTGGTTGTAGTTGTAGTTGTTGTTGGTGCTGTTGAGTTGTAGTGAGTGGTAGTGTAGTAGTCTGTAGCTGTAGTTGTTGTAGTTGTGTTCTAGTTGTAGTTGTTGTGTGTTGTAGTTGTAGTTGTAGTTGTTTTGTAGTTTGTTGTTGCTGTTGTTGGTTGTTGCTGTGTTGTTGTAGTGTTGTTTATAGTTGTAGTTCTAGTTGTAGGTGGGGTGTAGTTGTTGTAGTTGTAGTTGTTGTAGTTGTTGTGGTTGGTGTTGTTGTTGTTGTTGTTGTGGTTGTGGTTGTTGTTGTTGTTGTTGCTGTTGCTGTGGCTGTTGTCGTCGAAGTTAGGGTAGTTAAGTTAGTGAAGTTAGTTAAGTTAGTCAAGTTAGTTAAGTTAATCAGTGTCTACTTTTTCGACATCTTCACGTCAAAAGAGGCTCAAAACCCTCAGTTTTTTACACTTTTGACTTCGAAATGTGCTTCGCGCCACAACGGCGTGCACTTTTTCGACACTTTTCGACATCTGAACCTCCAAAAGTGGTCCGAGACCGCCAGTTTTTAACACTTTTGACTTGGAAATGTGCTTCGCGCCACAACGGCGTGCACTTTTTCGACATCTCAACTTCCAAAAGTGGTCCGAGGCTGAGGTGTTTTGTACATTTTGACTTGGGAAATGTGCTTCGCGCCACAGCGGCGTGCACTGTTTCGACATCGCAACTTCCAAAAGTGGTCCGAAGCTGACGTGCTTTGTAAAATTCATCAAAATCAAAAAATAAACAACAATAAAACAAAAAATAAAACAAACAAAATATATAAAAAAAAATTCAATACTTCCCCTGGTTCTAAAAAAATCCCCGATAAAAAACAAAAAACTAAACAAATTTCTCGAACTAATCCCTTTCAAAACAAAAAGGGAAAAACCCCGCCATCCTCCCTGATCACCCATAAAAAAAAAACAAAAAAAACAAACAAAAAAAAAACAAAAAAAAAAAACAACAAAATAAAAAAAACAAAAAATAAAAAAAAACAAAAAAAAAACATTCAAAAAAAAAAAACAAAAAAAAAACATTTTGACTTGGAAATGTGCTTCGCGCCACAACGGCGTGCAGTTTTTCGACATCTCAACTTCCAAAAGTGGTCCGATCCTCTAGTGTTTTGTCCATTTTGACTTGGAAATGTGCTTCGCGCCACAACGGCGTGCACTTTTTCATCTCTCATCTGGCCAGCTGGGTCCGCACCCGCCGCTTTAGCGAGCCTACTTTTCGACCCACCGGAGCCACAAATCATTGGAAAAACACAGTGTTTCGCGACTTTCCTACCTTTTCGCGCATCTGCATCTTCTTTCTTCTGATCTTGTCTCTTCTGACTCTTCTCACCTCTGCTTTTCAACTGTCCATATTGTCGGAAGTTTCACTTCTAAACTTCCTTCGATAACATATAGTTACACGCATACATCTTTTATCTTCCTTCTCTACCAATACCTTGAAGGATCTCCAAAAAAATTAACGATCCAACCAACATTGCTGGGGAGTGCCACTCAATTCCCCAGATCAAAGTCCCGAACGTCAAACAACTGAAGATCCCTGCAGTGTTTGTGACGCATCATTGTTGGGTTGAACTCCCCGTTTTCTTCTTTAGGTAATCCGCACATTTTCTTGGATCATATCCCTATAATTCTTGGTCAATATGTCCATGTTGTGTTGCCAAATCCCCTCGACATCACAGCTACTTGTTGGGCAACATGTCCTTATTTTGGACAACCATTCCATTTTTGCCAAGAAATCCGTTGTTTTTTTCGGGGTTCCTATGTTTTTTCTTGACCTTCGCACCCTTAAGTTTTGCTGAGGACCAACAGCCCGATGGAAGAACTCCGCGAGGAGGTCGAATCCAACGAATAAATCATGTTGGTAAAGCAATAAACCATCCACAAGTCATCACCATAAAATTAGATATTTTTCTGGGTGCTATATATGCACTATATATACCATCAACCTATGTGGAGGGGTGATTTTTTTGTTTTTCCAACAAACCAGTCACTTTTTGAGATGGGGGGAACCTTTCACCAACAAGGTGTTTTTGGGTGACGAAATGACTTGGTCACTGTGGAAAGGGACACCTCTTCGTCACGATTTTTGGGTACTCCAACTTTTCAGAAGCACAAGTTGGGCCTTTAAGCAACTCGTCAAAGTGCTGGGCGGTCATGTGCAACAAATTGGAGATTACAGTACTAGTGCATACAATAACACAGAATCACAGTTACACAATCCTGAACTGCTCGCTAAATAGGGATTTGATCCAACAATAGGGTTGACAAGTCAGTGGTTTTATGATCCAGTTGGATTGGTTTTACCCAACGCAGGATTTGAGCCACCTGATTTTTTCCACCTTTATGGGACAGTATCAGCCCCGGCCAGGATGTGGTGTTTGTGGGGAGCGCCTTTGCCTTTAATCGGCAAAGTTTGGCCACTTGCGCCCACCTCTTTCAGGGCCCACCCAGGCGATTTTTCAGTTTTGGGACTTCGAGTGGTTCTTCGCTGCAGCCAGTTGCATATGGGGATATCTATTTTGATATCTATGAATAAATTCTGAATATCCCCAAATTCCATCTGTGTCTTCCACTTAGTGGCAGCGATTTTCCGATGCCAACCGCCGCAGCCAGCAGAGGTGGCATCCGGCCGCGTCCCTTGATTCTGAATACATCGGTGACATGGACAACGTGTCTTGCTCCCTGACTTATGACACTTATGACCAATATAAATCCAATGATACTCATATATAGTATATATAGTATATATATATATACATGTGATGTTATACACCGTAATATTTTGTTACACACATATACATTGTTAACATTTTGATTCCACATGACGCCCCCACATTCCAGCAACGCATTTGCCGTTGACGGAGAGAAAACCTCAAACCACCATTTCTTCGCAGAAAACACATGTCAATCATGGTGAATCTACAGTAAACAACTAGGACATAGGTGAAAACACAGCAGCAAAGAGTGCGCCTTTGCCACGTGGCCATGTTGAGATGTTTTTTTTGCGCCCTGCTACCCTTGGCCCATGGAGGTCCACCGATATGGGCGACCTGGGGGTTTCTTAAGATTGTCCCCAAAATCAAGAGTTTCAATACTATTATATTATATGATATGATATTATATATATATATATACACAGTATATATATATATATAAAGATATATACTAAAATGGTCTATTTTTGGATGATTTCAGGATTTCATATGATTTCATCACGTTTTCTCGGGCCAATAATAATAATTCGAGTGATACAAGCAGCCACGTAAGCGACCAGCAAGGCCATGATTGGCAATGTTGCTCAAAGCTATTGGTAACAGAGATCCTACCAATCCTTGAGTGATCTAAGTCTGCAATGGAATATCCTCCCCATTTGTGGCTGATTTTTGTTCTTTCTGTTTCATACAAGGAGTTTCCCTTGCTTCGACTACACCAATATTTCTGCCATTTTCCGCAGTCATCCATCGCCAGTTATATAGTTATCCCCGGTCATCAAGATGGAAAACTAAGACACTGTGGAATGACACTTCCAACCAGAATATCCATGAAAAAGGGACCATTCATGGGTTCATTGTAAAATCCCATTGCTCATTGAACATTATCTAGCCAGTGACATTAGACGTATCCAATTTCTGGTCACGAAAAGCATGCAACAAAACAAGTTGATGATATAACCTCGACAAGCTCTCACCAAAAAAGTTGAGTATATAGCCCTTCTCTTGCCGGTCATATTCCCGTTTACCTTCTGGGAATCAAACATGGCTTGGTGAGAAAATTTTCCCACTTATAATTTCTAGATGATTTTCAATGCACATTTTTAAGAGATTTCCCAGCTAGTCATGTTTGATGAAACCGGAGGGTATCTTCACCAATTTTCCATTGATATCCCATTCATATCATAATAATATACCATTTGTATTTACCAATCTATTTCCATGAAACTATTGTTAATCATCCATCAATTTTTTTTTCCCCTGATATTTCCATTTAACCACTATTCTTGATGGTTCTATAGCCATTTAGTCGTCCATTTTTTCAATGATGGATGATATCCCCCTCCAACAAGTCACATTTAACCACTAAAGCCATGGATTTTTTGGAGGTATCCCATGGACCGAAAGGGAAGTCATTACCCGGTGGTAAACGTTACAAAATCCACGAACTCAATCACCATTTTCCAGTTCGCAAACTGTTCACGTTTACCAGGCCGGGTATGGGGGAACTGTTGGTTCTTTCAATGGCCAGGGATATTCATGGGATCATGGGATCACCGCCAGGTGACATCTGCCGGGAGGAGGACTTCCAGCTTCGAGTGCAGCATGCGCTGCTGGGAGCGTTGCTGGGAGATAGCTTCGCCTGGAACCGAGGTGCCCGATGACAGGGGAAATGGATGGAAATGGGCGAATGTCTGGGGAAAACTTGGAAATTGAATGAAATTGATGTTTTTTTTCTTGGGGAATCCTGGAGATTTCGATTTTTTCTTGTGGAAACCTGGAGATCCTGGGAGTTTCTGAGGATTTTTTGTGGATGAAGATTGTTTTCTGGCTGGCTTCTGGATGTATTTAACTGCGATTTGCTGGTATTTTACATGTGCGGAGATGATTTTCCAATGAAATGTGACTGCGAAACAGAATAAGGACATGAATCATTACCTGACTATGGCTACATTTGTGTCTTGGAAACGATGATTTGTCAAATAGTTTCCAGGGTAGATGTTTTGGGGCTCAATGTGCCAACGATCCTGGAGGGAATGGGAATTCCCAAGACTTGCTTGGGCCGCAACACTTTCAGTGAACATCGACAGGTGAGGTGAGCCTGGATCAGCTGGCAGTGGCTGAAGAAGAGGAGAAATCCCATGGGTTTTCCCTAAGAACATGGTGATTTCCCATGCAAACTGTTTAACATTACTCAGATTTCCCATGATTTTTATCAGATTTTCCATCTATTTTCAGCTTTTCAGGGGGTTACCTTTTTTTGAGGTGTAAAAAGATGTAAACGATCTGCCTTTATTGCCAACGAGGAGCATAGCAGTCACGGCTTAGAACTGATGCAGGTGCGGCTGGGGAGATTTGACGAAGTTGTGTAGAGGCCCTCATCAAGCCTTGAAGAATGGTTGTTTGCCCAAACAGAATGGCTCTGTTCTTAACATGTATTTTTTCGAAACCAATTTTTTGGAAACCAATTTTTGGAGGTACGAACTGAGGGCCAAAGTGGACGTACGTTTTCTTGTTCAAAAAACCAACGCGGATTTATATCGAGCTTCTGTTGCCAAACTCTCGGTGTGAGGAATTGTGTTTCCAATTTTTGGTGATTCGATTAACACCTCATTTTCCTTAGCTTTATATCATTACATAATATTACATATCTCATCATTAATTCCATTCTTTTCCTAAAACCAGTGAACTTCCCAGGCGCTGCGGGTGGTCTCGGTAGAAGGCTTTGAGTTCAAACGTTTCTCTGACGCCTGGAGGTTTCGGGTCGGAAGGGCTGTTCGGGTGACCTTTAAGGTAAAGCATCAAGGGTAGTACCTTTGAGGTTACCCTCTGGTAATTTAACATAGCGAACTGGAAAATCACCATTTTTAATGGGAAAATCCAATATTTCTATGGCCATTTTCAGTAGCTATGTTAGTTTACCAGAGGGTACCTTGAATGATTGTAGTGATGATCATCAACATTTATGAGCTCTACAAATCAACTGTTGCCTCTAGAAATCTGTTAATAAACCCGAAACAGTTGATTATAGAGGTAATATGAGTTGGTCTTGGAGATAAGAAATCTTCATAAGTCAGGGAGGATTAACACCAGTTCCAGTTGATATTAGAGGTTATATTATATTACATACCTATACCGTATATATATATACAAAAAATATATATATGTATGCATATGATGTATTATGCATATATATTACAGTTCACAACAAGTTTGATGGAGAGAAACACACTGAATGTCGCCGCCCCTTTCAACCAACTCTCAAGCATCAGAAACGATTCCCGGTTCCCATGGGGTTCCCAGTGCGTGCTGTCGTGGCAGTACTCTGGACTACTCAACTTGTGTCACTGGGTTTAGTGGGTGTTACCGTGTATCAACAGCATCTGCTATTTGAGAAGTTCAGAGCCATCTCCGAGGGTGGCGGCACTGGGGGCAATCGAGGAGAGACAGCAAAAACTGTTGCACCTGGGGGAGATCCTAGTACCCCAGAAACACTCAGACTTGAATCTGTGGCCCTATTAGGAGCTGAGGCGGTGTTCTTCAATCAGACCTGGAACGGGCATATACAAGCACCCACGTCATTGATTTCTTGTTTCAGTGGACTTGTTGTTACTTTGATACTTTTGCTTGCATTTGGGAAGGTGTGGGCTTGGGTCACTCAGGGTCAGCAACTTTTGGCCAGGGAGCCTTCGATATCCCCTAGCCATCGACAGGAACTGGCTAGGAGACAGTTGGCGGAAGTAAGACTACGTAGACATGGCTTTGGTCAATAGATTTGTCTTGCTGGAGTCTGATGTGGGTGGGCCCCGTTTGTGGCACGAGCGGCTAGCTCTAGAGCATGTCAGGGATGATCTGTATGTGGTGGTGACCCCAGACCGGGACATCTATGTTGAGGAGTTGGGGCTTATGAATGATGACTTGAGAAACATACGGGTCCGTGCAGCTCAAGGGGCTATCCCTCCTGGCGTTGCGGCAGGTCAGATCTACTCCTTGCCCGTCTTTGCTCCCTCCGGCAGTGGTGAACCCTGTTTTGGCTGCTTCCGCAGTTGCCGTGGCTGGCGCTCAGCCTGCCGCGGTTGCTGCTCCCTTCCAAGCGGGCAGCTTGAAGTGGCTCTACGCCGAAACTGCTCATGGTAGGAAGTATGGTCAAGAGGTGGTTGGTTTTGGAGCTGCACTGGTCAGAGGTGATAAGCAGGTCTTTGACACGGGAGGTGGCAAGAACATTTTTTTTGAGTGTGTAGACGGAGCTGATCTTGCTGGATTCTTGGAAAGGCCATCGGCATGCGATAAGAGGATCCTTGGCCAGAAGCTCAATCCGTTGGGGCAGCCAGAGCGAAGCCTGCAAGATGTGGCGCGGGACTGTGTTGAGGAGCCCGTTCAGTGGGCTCTGACCGGGCCCCGCACCGCCAAGTGGTGCGTGAGCTATTTGTCGATAGAAGGGCTTGGTTTTGAAGGTCACCATGAGAGGGTGCGGCAAATCACAAAAGCCGATGCCAGCTCTTGGGGAATTCAGGAGCATTTCCAGATATCTATGACCTTGCGCCAGGCGCTTTGTGTTGATCAGCTGGATGCCTACAACTTGCTGAGCGTTGAGATTCAGTTCAGAAGGCTCCAAACCATCGAATTCTCTTACTCAGAGAAGGCAAAGGAAGCTGAGAGCCGAGCAGTTGGGGGACGCCTGTCTCTGGAGGAGCAAACTGTTTTTGGAGGAGTGACTAGGCAGTTTTCAACACTGATGGTTTGCCCTGAGCTTTTGACCCATGTCAAGGCTGAAGTCGAGGCAGAAGCCTCACTGGCGAAAAACCTGCACAAGGCCAGGGAGGAGCATGAAGCCGCTCGCAAGAGCAAGAAGCAAGGTGGTGGCAAAGCAGGGGAGGACCCCTGAGATGTCAGGTGCGCCAAATGCCTGGCCCAGCGGATGGCGCAATACCTGTAGGGCCAAACAGTGGTAGGAAGTTCAAAAGGGACCTGCTGCCGCTGCCATCAGTGCATGTGGACTCCCGTGCTTGTGGCAATCTTTCCCGCAAATGCAGGCAGAGAGAAGGGAAGCGAATTCATTTTCAAGAGGAGGTCAGTCGTACAGTCTCTGCCCTCAACTCTATGTATGGAGCTGGTCGGCAACAGGACCGCGGGCTTGGGAACAGTTCTGAGCTCAGCAGCGGCCAGCAGAAGGTTTTGGAATTCATTGAAGGTGCAGTGGACAAGCTGGGGCCTCCCAGCGATTTGTCTGGCCCAGAGGCCCTTGAGGTGCTTCGGGTCTCCGGTGGATACATGGAGACGCCAACCATGTGTCCGCTAGGATCCTTTGATCCTGCTGCCGTGTCACTGCCTTCTGAGGGGATGGACCCTGTTCCTTTGGAATTGCTGTGGGGCGATGGCGGGCGCCGTGAGGTTGAGGATTTCACCCTCCAACGTATGCTCAGTCCGGAAGCAGTCAAGAGCAAGCTGGAGGAGAGTGGTGTGGAGAGAGTGTATCAAGACCCTGCTTTTCACAATCCTAAAGTTTATGCTGACTTCATCAAGCGGTTGCACGGTTTGGGCCTAGTAGAGTATTGCCTTGAGCGTCCCCATGAACAAGTTGGACTATTCGTTGTCAAGAAAAAGAACAACAAGCAGCGGCTGATCATGGACTGTCGGAGGTCCAATTGTCATTTTGCTGAGCCCCTTAGTGTGCAGCTGGCGACGGGGGACTCCCTGAGCAGGATCGAGGTGGAAGAAGGCAGACGCTCTATATGGCTTCCGCTGACCTTCAGAACGCTTTTTATACCATGGCCATGCCCGAGTCACTTAGGCCATGGTTTGGTTTGCAGAGAGTCAGGGCAGCCGCCCTGGGCGTCGCTGAGGTGGGTGATCACAAACTGACAGGGGACGAGTGGGTGCATCCGCGAGTCAAGATTATTCCTATGGGTTGGACTTGGGCGCTTTGGTGGTGTCAGCGAATCAATGAGAGGATTTGTGAGAGGGCTGGTCTTGATAGGTCTAGGCGACTCCGGGACGGTGCACCTTTCTGTCCGGGAACTATGTGGCATATCCAGTACGTAGATAACCTGCACGTCATTGGCACTTGCAAAGCTGAGGTTGAAAAACACTTCTGGGCAGCAGTGGCGGAGTTGAGGAGATCTGGCCTCACCGTCCACGAGGTCGAAGTTGGTGATGGAGCTTCAAAGATGCTTGGATGGGAGGTCGAAGCTGGAGGTGTGCTGCGTCCCACTCGTGACCGGGTGTGGCGCATACGCAAAGCTCTGTGTGAAGTGCTGAGTAGAGGACGGTCAAGCGGCGTGCAATTGGAGAGACTGGTGGGCCACATGACCTTCGTATCACTATGCAGGAGAGAGTCACTTGCAGTATTCGGTGAAGTATATACCTTCATCCGCCGCAACTACAATAGTGTTGTGCCCCTTTGGAAAAGTGTGAGATGTGAGCTGCTGAAATGGGATGGTATATGTCCTCTTATTTTTACCAACTTTACTAAACCTTGGTCTACAACGGTTTATTCTGTTGATGCCTCTGAGTGGGCTTTGGGTGTTGTTTGCAGTTCTATGACCGCCAGCGAAGTGCAGCGACTGGGTCTATTTCAGAAAGATGGAGGTTCAAAGACGATAGGGCTAGAGATCCACGTAGGTACGCTCTGGAAGAAGATCATAGTGTGTTTTTTGCAGATAGGTCTGGAACCAAGCCGCACAACAAATCTTATTTAGTGGGTGAAGACAGTGGTATTTGGGAGGACATCAGCAGTAAGTTTGAGACGGTTGGTTTTTGGGCTGTAGACAGAGCTTGGCGAGTGGTGGGACGTTATAAGTGGAGAAAACCTGAGTCAATGCCGGTGTATGAGGCCATGTCATCACTTTATGCTATGAAACATGCTCTACGCAATGTCCAAAACCATAGTATAAGACATATTATACTTACTGACTCCATGACGGCGGCAGTGGCGTTTACAAAGGGGCGGGCACACAGTTTTAGATTGCGGGGGGTCGTGGAGCAAGCCAGTGCGTTGCAACTATGCACGGGCACACAATTCCGCAGCCGATGGGTGCCAAGTGAGTGGAACACAGCTGACGGGGTTAGTAGAGGGGGTCTTTTCCCTTCGGCTCCATGCAGGTTTTTTGGCGATGATTCACCGCCAGCTGAATGTGCAAGTCTCATGGGTGGCACCGAAAGTAGAGAAAAAGAAACCAAAAACAGTGGAATCAGTGGCGCAACCGACGTCACGCCTTGGTGTGGAGGCTCCTCTGACGTGGGATATAGAGCTGGAAGAGGGAAAGGCAGCCAGCAAGAAGACAAGGAGATCAGCTCGCAGAAAGCAGCAGCGCCGAGAGCATCCAAGCAGTTCCCTGCGGATGGCCTCGGTGAGCAAACAGACACAAAAGAAGTACCGGGAGATCTGGAGCCAGTTGTGCAAGTGGAACGGAGGGAGGGTCACAACAGGACTCTCCCTTCACCATCTGGATCAGTTGGTCACCAGCTACCTGGAAGATATGTATCTGGAGGGGGAGGACCTGTCCAAAGCCAATTATTTGGTGGCGGCGATAGCGTTTTTCATTCCACAGTGCAAGGGTCTGTCTGCGCTTCCAATCAGTCAGCAATCCATGAAAGGGTGGCGGAAACTATGTCCGCCACGAAGCCGGATGCCGCTCCCCTACGAGGTGGTATGTCTGCTTTCCCTGACGGCATTTCAGCAGGGACTGATCGAGGTGTCATTGATTTTGCTGCTTATCTTTTTTCTGTACTTACGGCCGTCGGAGGCCTTCAGACTGAGAGTGCAGGACCTTGTTCCGCCACCTGCCAGAGCCAAGAGACCATACAAGAATTTTTCAGTACTGCTCCATCCAACGGAGTTGGGTGTCCCATCCCAGACACTACAATGGGACGAGATGATGGAGTTGGATCTGGATCATCAGCGTTTCTTGGGTCAAGCGCTGCAGAAACACCTGCAGCTGGGCCGGCGCAACAAAGACAGCCTGGCCTTTACAGCGACGTTGCCAGAGGTGAACGAGTTTGTGGCTGGACAGTGGATGCCTCTCAAGCTACAGAGCTTGGGGGCGCCGCATCTGTATCGCCTGCGACACGGGGGTGCGTCTTACGATGCGGCAATGCGGCATCGAACGGTGGCGGAGATACAAAGCAGGGGGCGATGGCAGACTCTCAAGAGTGTGAAGAACTACGAGAAAGGATCCCGTCTGACCCAGCTGTTCAGCGGCCTGCCAAAAGAAACCCAGCGCGCCGCAACAAAGGCCAAAGAAAAAATCGGCAGCGTGCTCCTCAGCCGGCGCTGAGTGTGTGCGTGAGTTTGGCCTTTGCAGTGTTTCTGGAGATCTTTAGTGGTGGCGGTGGTCTAGGTAAAGCGGTTTCAAACCACTGTGGGTGGCCTGTGCTCCTGTGGGACATCAGTTTCGGGGCCGAGTATGACCTCACCAAGACTCCCATACAGCAGATGGTTGTTCACTGGATCCGAAGCGGCAAAGTGCGAGCTGGACATTTAGGGACACCATGCAATAGTTTTTCAAGGGCGAGGGATCGACCCGGGGGGCCGCCGCGGCTCCGCTCCGATGAACATCCCATGGGCCTCCCCGGATTGGCAGAGCACCTATATCGTAAAGTCCGTGACGGCAATGTTCTCATGCGTTTTTCATGTTGGGTCCTCCGGTTGGCCATTTCTTTGCATATCCCCTTTACTTTGGAAAATCCTCATCGCTCACGACTCTGGATTTGTCCTCCTGTTTTACAGATCTTGAGACGTAAGGTCGTAGTTTGGAAAGAGATACACTTTTGTGCTTTTGGTACTCCCTGGAAAAAGCCCACTCGAATCCTACGAGTGCATATATCTCTGGACATCCTTGACTGGTGCAGATGTCTGTCTAGCAAGCGTGGGATTTGCAATTTTAGTGGAAAGCCTCATGTGCCTTTGGCTGGCCAAGACTCAAATGGGAGATGGATGACCAAGATTGCAGAGCCAGACCCCCCAAAGTTGACAAAGTTGCTGGCCGTTGCTTTTGCCAATGAAGAACTCAGCCTGATTGCAACAGAATTTAGCCGTTTTCTGTAACAGCGGCCTGCGGCCAGCAGGCACCTTTTTGCAGGGCAATTTCGGGCAAGTTTGGGCGACAACCTTCTTTTGGCAAAGGCCTTTGACTTTCTCTGGGGCAGCTGAGGTGCAAACCGTTTTAGACGATATAGCATCACATCTGTCGAGAACGTTGATATGCAGACGCTGGCAAAGAAAAGAGTGTGAAGCGGAGTCATATATATGAATAATATATATATATATGTATACATGGTAGCCCCTCCAAATATCTATATGTTGGGGTATACACCAGGAAAAAAACATCAGAACATAGGGCGCTTTCCATGCATTGACGCAAGCAAAATTATGACTTCAGACACACATATGAGGCTTTAACCAGAAACATGTGGAATTATGCAGAGGAAACATTTTTAAGAAGTAAAACCATTGGTTTCCTGCAGTTTTCTTTGCTTACAGCCATCCATTGAGTGTGTCTTCTACCCTCTTTTCTTGCACGCCTATATATGTGTTTGTGGATCAAAATGACTCGACTCTGCACCCCCCCAGACAAAAACAACTCACCTTGGCCTGAACATATTCACTTGGCTTTTCGTGATCCTGAAATGATAGTATTCAACTGACTATAGTTTAAAGTTTTTTACTACTCAATTATGTTATATACTGGGTATGTTGATATCATAAATTATGGATCCAAATTCTCCCTCAGAAGCTCCTTGGAGCCATATAGAGATTGATATTGCTCATCAATTACTGATCAAGTATGGTATAGAGTCCATATAGTTATATATATATATACATATATATATATATACATATACACACATGTATGTATATTAGATCTATTAATGTCAAAATCGGTGTGAAACCGGTCAAAAGCTCTAGATCCCTTGGCTCCAAAAAGTGAAACTGCCAGGAATTGGGCGGATTACGTCCAAGAAGCCGAACCAGATCGAGGTGGCGCTGGCTGGGCTTAAACGTAGAGAAAAAACGGTGGAAAACCCATCGTTTCCCGCGCAGAAAATCAGGGAAAACCCATGGTGTACCTAAAAATTATCTACAAATAGTGGATTTTCATGGATTTTCCTCTACAAATAGTGGATTTTCATGGATTTTCCACATTTATGGTAGTTTCCTAGGAAAATCATCTACCTTTATGGTGGGTTTTCCGACGACTCCAGGTTGGAGCCCAGCAGCCGTGGAGGCGTTGAGTCAGTTGCGTGAAGGGGCACCTCCCGAGGCGGGATAGCATGGGGATATCCCATGGATATCCCCATGGATAGTAGAAACATCTCCCATAGAAATTGATGGATTTCTCCCATAGAAATTGGTGGATTTCCGATGGATATTGGTGGTGACTGGAACATAGAAATAGTGGATTTATAGTGGAAAATCATCATAGAAATAGTGGATTTACCCATTAAAGATGGTGATTTCCCATTATCTATATCTGGTTGGTGGTGACTGGAACATTGGTTTAGTATGGGGTAATGATGGTTAATGATTGTTAATCATGGTTAATAATCACTGGTTGGTGGTTTGAATATCTGGTTGGATATCATTATGCAAGAAATCATCCCATGGTAACAACCAGATATCCATGAATTTACCAGATGGTATACTGGTTGGTGGTTTGGAACATGAATTTTATTTTCCATAATATGAATGGATAATCCACCAACCATTGACGAACTCGTATTTTTCAAGATGTTTTTTTAAACCACCAACCAGTAATATGATTGGGTATCTGTGGAGAAAAACACCGACATCATCCTTCATCATCCTTCATCATCCAATATGATCCGGGTATCCTGTTTTAAGGATGATATTTTGGATAATATTGAATATCTGAGCCAACGACATCATCCTTCATCCCAAAACAGATCCAATATGATCCAGAAGGGTTGGTTGGCCCAACTGAAGGATGACAGTATGTTTATTATTATTACTCCATTTTCTCGGTTAGTTGTGTGAAATTCGATCAATTAAAGTTTGCATCTGTGATGGGATAATATTTAAGTATCTATGGGAAACAAATCAACAGTTTATTAGTTTTTTTGTTCAGTTTTGCCTATTTGCTTTGAGATTTAAGGATTATGAAGGATGGAATAACTATGAAAAGAAACCTGAGACTCTTTGATGGTGCCTCTTTTTTGCTGGTCCTTTTTGGTGTCACCATCAAAGATTTGAATTTAAGCAGTGTGTAGTGGAGATGGGTTTGACTGAACATGGGGAGATTAACTTTCAATTTATGGTCACTTTAACAAGGCACGTGATGATGATTGCTATGTACAGGAATATAAAGTATATATCCTATTTCTAGAGAAGCCAGTATATATATATATTATTTGCTGGGATGAAAAATAGAATAGAATTGCCGTTCCAAACCTAAAGTTTTGTTGTTTTTTTTTGGGATAGAAGATCGGAAAAAGCGGTTACTTTTTGAACGTTTTTTTTGATGACTTGTTCTTTTAGTGGGATGAAGGATGAAAGTATGAAACGGACTAGATATGAATAGGTCTGAAGAAGTGATAGTTTTGAGAGTTTTGGGATTGAACACCCACCCATCAGTAGGGATTCCATTCAGTTTTTGTTTGTCAAATCCCATATACAATCCCAATTTCAGTGTAAATATGTATATATGAGAACCTCACTGCACTTTTAATGGCTTCTCAAAAAAACAATCTGTTTAGATGTACAGATGGAATGCACCAATTCAATGAGGGTTAGTACCATGCGGTTTTCACCAAAGCTTGGCGTTTATTATCATTTCATGACAACTTACTCCCTATTTGTTTTCTATAAGTACCACTTGTTTTTTGCTTAAATCTTCATTTCATCTGCTTAAATCAAATCATTTCTGGTGAAATTCAAGTTTTTGGCTGGTCAAATCTCAGATCTGTTAAAATCCCAATTGATGGTAAATCTGATAAAATAACCACCAATTTCGATGTTGCAATCCCCATATGGTGAATGATTAAATCCCAATATTCCAGTGGTTGAAACCAATTTTCCTAATTTTCAAATTGATGGTTAAGTCCAGTGAAAGCCCATAAGCCATCCCATTTTCATGGCAAATTGACTATCTTCTAAAGGCGGCTGCTGGACACTATGTAGACTTTGGCGCCATCGCACGGCTGCCGGTCGCGGCCTGAGAACAGATTTTCGGCCGGGAAAATCGCCAGGAAAACATCTGGTTTTACTGTGAAATATAGGTTTTTGTGGCTGATAGTTGATAGGTTTAGGTCGGGATTTGGAAATTTTATGTATGAACTTGAGCTGTTTCCATGCTGCGTTACCAGACCAAACTGAGATTTCCTGGATTTGGTCAACATAACAACCAAAGCAAAAGACATGCTCATATTGAGGGTTTTGCCAACAAAGAAGTGGTTTTCAACCAACAAATCACGTGGATTTCAGCAGCACACCTCAGATACCTCTTTACCTCTTTAAGCAGAAGTCATGTGAATTTCGGGATCTTCGTTCATATTGAATCACATCAGTTATTGGTTATCAGTAGATTTTTACATCGCTATCACCGGCAAATTGATGAATCCGTGGCAAATCCCATCAACAAATTACGATTCTCCAATCAGTTATCAGTAGATTTTTACAAGAATCATCAAGAATCACCGGCAAATTGATGAATCCCATCAAATTGTTGAAGAAAAAAAATATGAAATCATCAATAATCATGTGGATTTCGATCATTTTTCATCATTTTTCATCATCTTTCATCATTTTTCATCATTTTTCATCATTTTTCATCATTTTTTGTCATTTTTCATCATTTTTTGTCATTTTTCATCATTTTTTGTCATTTTTCATCATTTTTTGTCATTTTCCCATCATTTTCCCATCATTTTTTGTTTTCCCATCATTTTTTGTTATTTTCCCATCATTTTTTGTCATTTTCCCATCATTTTTTGTCATTTTCCCATCATTTTTTGTCATTTTCCCACCATTTTTTGTCATTTTCCCATCATTTTTTGTCATTTTCCCATCATTTTTTGTCATTTTCCCACTATTTTTTGTCATTTTCCCATCATTTTTTGTCATTTTCCCATCATTTTTTGTTTTCCCATCATTTTTTGTCATTTTCCCATAATTTTTTGTCATTTTCCCATCATTTTTTGTCATTTTCCCATCATTGTCACTGGAAAAAAACATTTTTTTTCACGGCGAAGTGAGGCCTTGCTCCTCCTCGCCGAGCACGCGGACGAGAACGGCCTGGTGATGGCCTCGCAGGAGATGCAACGCGTGACGCACGAGAATCCAAAGGCCTGGGAAAAAATGGGAAAAGATGGGGGAATTTTTCCTGTGTGTTTCCTACATGGCTATGGATCAATACCTATGAAAATACCATTTTTAGGGGAATGAACATCCATAAATCCCAGCTATTTTGATGTGAACAGAAGGGGTACAAGGTTTTGACACACTGCCATATGATACCTTCCATGGTTCCAGTCACCACCAACCAGTGATTATTAACCATGATTAACCATCATTAACCATAATTACCCTCTGGTAAACATACAAAAAGCTATTGAACATGGCCATAGAAATAGTGGATTTTCCCATGAAAAATGGTGATTTTCCATAGCTATGTTAAATTGCCAGAGGGTAATAGATTATTATACATATATAATATAATATCATGTATATATCATGTAAATAGATTATTTATGATCGTTATTAGATCTACCAACGATGATCTATGAGACATATACATATTATGATAATAGGGGGATTTGATAACATGACGATGGCCCTGTGGTTTGAATGATAGGATTTTATGGGGATAAATCATCCATTGTGGCTTGTTTATGACCATGGAATTTATAGAAATTGTGTTTCGGATGAATTCTATACACTATTTGGGGAGATTTATGGCAGTTTTGTTGTTTTTTTTGAGGTTGAGTGATGTTGTTGCATAGCCTAAACATGTTCAGAATTCTCATTAGGACATTGGGGATCTGAGCAGGAAATACCAGACTTGTTAGAATTGTTACCCTTGAAAAAAGGGAAAAAAGGGGGATAGAAAAAATACCACCAACGTTTTGAATAGATTGACTTCCCAACTTGGGTTAAGACTACCAGAGACTAAGATTTTGGCAAGAATTGGCCGTTGAACTCCACGCAGTGGCAGTGTGATTGGAGACCGTCATTTGCACCCATGCATATGTCCCAAATTGGGTGAGCCCCTCTATCTTTTGGTAAACCGATTCTGCCCGTCTTCCCCAATTCTTGTTTAGTCCGATACAAATTTCTGTGTTCTGAGTGGTTGAACAGCAAACAAATCTGGGATGTACACACCCATGTCAGCAGCAGCGCTGTTCGCTCTATCCCATTTTTGTTTGTTTGTTTGTTTGATTGATTGATTGTTTGCTTGTTTGATTGTTTGATTGATTGTTTGTTTGATTGTTTGTTTGTTTGATTGATTGATTGTTTGATTGATTGATTGTTTGATTCTTTGATTGATTGTTTGTTTGTTTGATTGTTTGATTGTTTGATTGTTTGTTTGTTGATTGTTTGATTGTTTGATTGATTGTTTGTTTGTTTGGTTGTTTGATTGATTGTTTGTTTGTTTGTTTGATTGTTTGATTGTTTGATTGATTGTTTGTTTGTTTGATTGTTTGATTGATTGTTTGTTTGATTGTTTGATTGTTTGATTGTTTGTTTGTTTGATTGTTTGATTGTTTGATTGTTTGATTGATTGTTTGTTTGATTGTTTGATTGTTTGATTGGTTGATTGGTTGATTGTTTGATTGTTTGATTGTTTGATTGTTTGTTTGTTTGATTGATTGAATGTTTGTTTGATTGATTGTTTGTTTGTTTGTTTGATTGTTTGATTGTTTGATTGGTTGATTGGTTGATTGGTTGATTGGTTGATTGTTTGATTGTTTGATTGTTTGTTCGTTTGATTGTTTGATTGTTTGATTGTTTGATTGTTTGATTGTTTGTTTGTTTGATTGTTTGATTGTTTGATTGTTTGATTGATTGTTTGATGTTTTGATTGTTTGATTGTTTGATTGTTTGATTGATTTTTTTTGATTGTTTGTTTGATTGATTGTTTGATTGTTTGTTTGTTTGGTTGATTGTTTGGTTGTTTGATTGTTTGATTATGTTTTTGTTTGTTTGTTGGTTTGTTGGTGTTGTTGTTGTTGTTGTTCCTCCATTACCGATAAGGCCCATATAGAAAAACTTGCCTATCTTCCCACATGTATGGATTCTCACCCCCGACTTGGCTTTAGACCAATTTTTCTTACCTCCAAACACTTGGGAAACACACAACAAATCCACCAAATCCTGAATTTCCACGATCATTTCTGCATCATCTGTACCCTCTGCTAGTCAAAGGTGGCAATGGAAGACTCGTCTACAAATAGAGGTTTCGTTCGCTGGGAATATCATCGAACTAAATGATGGATTTCCAGTTGCTATGTTTGATGACACCAGAGGGTACCACAATGGGGCCTCCCAAAGTCCTTTCGGACGTCGTGGTCGATGAAGAACCTGCAGGTTCTTCAAGCGGGTGAATTCTTCCTGCGTGCTGCCCTACACTTGTTGCGCCTGATGGCCCAGTGGTTTGGGATGCGTTGCATGGGGAGCTTCGCTAGTCAGACTCGAAGGATATTTTTTGCTCCGCCTGGAAATTCAATGATCAATAATAGAATGTGAAGACAAGTGTACAACAGTATACACATGTATACACATAGTTCTGACATAGTTTGAACTGGTTCAAAACCACTATTGTGACTGTGACTGAACTATGTGGACTATCTGAGCTGTGGGAAAAAGGGCTCAGAAATGATGCCTGCACCGGCACCCAAGATCTTGCTGGGTTTCTTCCAAGAATCCACGGCAGGAGTTTCCACAGGGAGATTTTTTGGTGATCCCCAAAAAGATCCATGGCCAAAATCTCCATTGATCTTGGTAAATTATTTTGGCACCTTTTTGGCACCTTTTTGGCACCTTTTTGACCTTTTGGGCACCCCAAAATCACAGAGTTCAGAAAAAACAGCTTTCCAACTTTGACCTCATTTTGAAGCTTTTTCTGTCCAGCCTTTGTCACCCTAGATTTTATCCGTGTCCCAGAATTTGTTGCAGGTATATACGAAACCTCCATATTTTTAACACGGTGGAAACCATGGTTTCCTTCCAAATATATCCCATTGTGAAGCAAGCCTCAAAAAGATTCAGAACAGCTTCAAATTGCCATTCATAATCCGATGATATCCCATCCGTCAGTTCCCATATTCCCAAAAATGTGGTAACCCACCCCAAAGTCATATATTGGAAGGTTTTTTTACTAACCATCTAAAAACCACTCCCTTTTACCAGTATTTCTTTTTATATTCACACCCATAACTATAACATTGTATTCCTTTTATATTCCCGCTTATTCCTGGTAAACTATATCATTTGGATGGTTTTTACTACCCGTCTGTTCCCAATCTTCCCGATTTTGCTACAAGAACTTGGGATTATAGGGGATATGTCTAAAGTTAGATATGTCTAAAGTTAGAAGAGGTTCAAAACCAAACATCACGTTTGCGATGGTTTATAACTCCAATTACGATGGTTTAACAATAACGCTCGTCTTCATGTGTTTTATGAAACCACCAAACATGTCACGTTTGGAAATCGATTAGCCATTCACCAAATAGCCATGAGATAATTCGTTAGCAAATTCACTCCACTTTCCATTGTACTTTCCATTCATGCCATGATATCTTCCAAAGTGAGTGAATGAAAATATTATGAGATATCAGGGCACTATGAATATGAACTTCATCCATTATATTTCCACTTCACCGGTAAAGCCATGAGATTCCCCAGTGACTTCCAGCTCGCTCCCAGAGCTCCCAGGTACGCCCAGCATCGCCTGCACCGCCGACGGCGTTGCGGAGCGCCGCGCGGCGATGCTGGCGGCGCTGCGGGAGGCGGCGCGCTGCGGGGAACACTTCAGCGGCTTGGTGGATGAGGTGCGGGGACGGGCCGGGGGAAGTGGGCTGGGGGTCCTCAAAAAATGGGGAAAAACCATGGGAAAAATGTGAAGACCAGGGAAAACTGAAGAAAATGATGAAGAACATCCAGATTTAAAGGGATTTGTCACCATTTCTTCACCATCATGGGGCAAAAAAGAGGATTTCACCGATGAATGATGGATCATGGAGTGATGACTGGCAACCATGGGGATTTTGTTCGTTTTATTATGAACGATAGGGATGTACCCCAGTGAAAGCGGTGGATTTGTGTTGCTTTTCTTCTGCAGTTGTGATTTCAGCAACGAAAATGTGGATATCACCAATGAAGCAATCTAATCTAATCTATCAATGATTCTCGTGAATTCTGACTATGTGGTTTTAACTGGATTGTTTATCTAGGTGCAGGAATATATAATCGACTGTTTTGGTTGGTTACATCTATCCGCAATGTTTGATGATTTCAAATCGGTCAAATCCCAATGTGTTCTTGTTTTTGTGGTTGAATTTGAATCCAAATTAATTATTCTTGGTCAAACTGAGTCAAACTCACACTTATCCTAGTATTAATTTCCATTTTTGTCGGTGAAGTCATACTTTTGTTTGGCTTAAACCCATGAACCCTCCATTTTGTGTCATGGATTTCCTCATTTTTCCCACATTTTTCTCGGATTTTCATGGCTTCACCCCGTGTTTCCCATGGTTTCCCCACGGACTCGGACTCGCCGCACTCGGTCCTTGCCAGGTCCTTGCGGAGGTCAGCAGCCGCGCCTCGTTGCTGTCCGTCACCGGCGAAGCGTTTCTCACCGGGACCTTGGCGGCGATGCATTCGGACCACGAGGCGCGAAACATGAGTGACGATAAAAACGACGATCCAAACAGCCATCATTTTGAATGATAAAAACTGATATATATATATATATGTATATATGATTATATGTATATATGATTATATGTATATATATATGATTATATGTATATATGATTATATGTATATATGATTATATGTATATATGATTATATGTATATATGATTATATGTATATATATATGTATATATGATTATATGTATATATGATTATATGTATATATATATATGTATATATATATGTATATATATATATGTATATATATGTATATATACATAGATTGTAATAATGATGATAGGAATTGAGAGGAATTGTTTTTGACATTGATCTAAAGAGCTCCCCAGTGTGGTTGATGTTCCCAGGAATCGAACATCAAATCACCTTCGCCCAGCTGTGTTGGTGTGAAAAGCCATCTGACTATTTCGATATATGCCTGATATCTGGAGAGTCTCAAACGTGGAAAACAGGGGCCCCGACAGGCTACCTTTCTGCATAAACCATGGTTACTGTATTTCGCAACAAGCCAATAAAAACCTGGCATAAAACGGATTTGTGAATCGAAATGCTGCAAAAGCCATGCTTTTCGCTGAACAATCCAATCATTTGAGGGTATTTTTGAAGTCTTGTCGGTTGAATCCAACTTTTTGTGATCATGTAGCATCACTTACCCATTTTCGTCGGTCAAATCCACATTTTTGTTGGTCAATTTGGGGACCTTTTGGTGATTTCTGACATAGCTATGGAAAATCAGCATTTTTCATATAGCTAAATAAATAAATATATAGGGATTTATCATCCATAGATACGGGAAAAACATAATGACCTCCCTGCGACCTTACTGTATCGATGCGTAGGGGATACTATACCCAAATAGAGGTTTCCAATGCATGGGGGTACCCCTAGTTATTGTTTTTTCCATTTTTGTTTGGGATTTTCCATTATAAACCATCCATTTGGGTACCCGGCCTGGTAAACGTGAACCAAAAAACCATGGACAGATCCACCATTTTCTAGCTGGGTAGTCATCCACTATTTCGACTGGGCCATGGCTTCCAGTTCGCAGACTGTATGTTTACCTTTGGGGTACCCCCCCCATGACTTAGGAAACCTCTAAATAACCTTGTTTCAGGTCATTGAATCAGGACATAGTTTCTCCAGCCGGACCATTTTCCAACTATGAATTTTCACATCCAAACAGTTTCTTGTAGCGCAATCAACATTTTCATATCAGCTAATTTAGCTGATATTTAGCTGATATCCATGTTTTATGATCTTAAATGAGCTCAATGATGGATATACACCATGGATATTCACCAGGTGATCGGCCGCTTAACATCCAGCGGCTTTGCGCCGGGGGATGAGGCCATATTTTTTTTGGGGTTGGATGGGGATTCCCCTGAGATATGAATCTTAACCGGAAACCATAGATTTTCCCATGAAGATCATGGGGCTTTCCGGTTCCAATTTTCCCTTAAACCAATCCATTGAATATGACAAAATTATTATCATATCAACCCTTTTTAAGGGGATACACCAAAAGTTGTTTTGTTTAACACAGTTATGAATCTGACAACAGAATTCATTTATGGGTTTCCTAAGTCATGGGGATATCTGAATGGACCTGAATGGCTGGATGGATGGTTTGTGATGGACATTCCTATTAACATTAACATATAATGGAGATATAATAGGAATAGAACTGGAATTTCATGGGATCAAGGATCTACCCACTGGTAATTTAAGAGTTTGTGAACTGGACAACCACCGTCTTCAATAGGCAAATCATCTATTGGGCCATGGTTTCCATAGCTACTGTGGATGGTTGCGAAATCCTGCATCACCTTGGATGGTTGAAACCCTATAAATAATGGAATAAACCATCTATCGACTGGTGCAGGATTTCGCAACCATCCACAGTAGCTATGGAAAATGGACCATTTATAGATGATTTAGCTATTTAAGCTCATGTTCGTTCAGCAGAGGGTATGGGAAATCATGGGATATTACCTGCCAACAACATCTGATATGGAGGTTTCCTAAGTCATTTCTGGGTATCTGGGTACCACCCACTGGGAATTTAGCTGAAGTGTCACGTGAAACGCACAGTGTTGCGAGACCACCAAGAAAAACCATAAAGACATATACAAATACAGGTATATAGATATTTGGATATAGATCTAGATACACAGATACATCTAATATGAATCTTTGATATATATATATATATATATATAAGATAAGATAAGATTAGATTAGATTAGATAGATCGCTAGATCGATA